CTGTCCAGGACCTTAGCATTTTGGTGCTTCTCTTTGTCATATTTTCTCTCTATGACTCTTTGTAATATTCATTACTTAACTGATCATGTAAACTCCTTATATATGAATATATGATCCTCCTACCGGCTACCAATTGTCTCCTGTTTTTGGATTTATGAATTTAGTAATTCATTTGCCTTTGTGTGGACAGTGAGCATCCAATAATTAGAGCGTGACAAAACTGCCGCCTATATTAAATATGATCAAGTCCGATCCTTTTTTATGGATTGTTTTTAAGGTTGTCTACGTTTTCACAACTAATTTAAGGCTTTCAAGAATAGCGACTCTATCACTCTTGTCACTATTTGTGTTAAGATATAAGTCATACAACTCTTGAGGTCAATCTTTACCATCATATGCATATACCATTTAAAATAACTCAATATACAGATTTCATCCCATGCAAAATTGAAATATTGGGATTTTAACTGTGACTTTTAATTATAGAGTTCTTGATATAACAGATGAGCTAACCTTCATTGGAAATGCAAAGGGTATTCTTCATCACCGAGTCACCGACCATCAATAAGACACAAAAACAATCTTTTGAAACATTTTGATGTTTTTATGAGGTCCAATTTTTGCACATGGACAATTATGTTTTGAGATTTCAAGAATTGGTTCGACTTGAGTTTACATTTCATATGTGGCCATAAAAGTTGACAAACCTCAAGAATAATGGTTCCGAGTTGGGTATATATTACACTAGTATATTACCCGCGTGATGATGGATATCTAAAAATTTTCATCATTCTCGATTATATATGCTACTACGTATATTATTAAAATTGATACAATAATACAGTAACATTTACTTTAAAGAAACTGAAATTTCTACCTAGTATATGGTAAGGCCAAATAAGATCATCGATATCTATAGCTATAGAAAAAACAAACATAAGGTTATTAAGAAACATTTCAATATAAAAAATACACTTTATGAATAATATAAATGTAGTGTAGAGCATTAATTATTGACCTACTATTAGGGCTGTGCATTAACCGGGTCGGACCGTATTTTAGACCGGAACCGGACCGGAATGAACCGGATAGGACCGGACCGGTATTAACCGGTCCGGGTTTCAGTCCTTAGTTTTTCAAGATTCTGGGTTCCGATCCGGTCCAGGTCAAACCCGGAAAAAACAGGTCCGGACCGGAATGGACCGGTAAACTATTATTCCGTAAAATATATAGTTCATTTTGTATCATTAGTCATTATGAATGTTTATGGCTTACTTTTGTCTTCTATTATAAAAATGAATATATATATATATATATGGAGTGTATATTTGGTGTCTAATTATTTCCTAAGTTGTTTTGATTTGTTTATTTATGTGCAGGTGTGCACTACTATGATCGTAGTTTATATTTGTTTGATTTTTCCAAATTGCTTTTTATTTGTTTCTTTATTTGCAGGTGTGCATGTAGTTTATATCTAGTATATTTTTGGACGTAATTTAGTTTTTATTACTCTACAATACATTTTTCCATTTTAATATACACAAAAGATTGTAGTTTTAATTATGGCGGGAAACTAATTATTACGATTGAATAGTTTTGATGATTATATTTCAAAATTAATAAATTAGCTAAACAATTATTTAGCCTATTTAGCATATCCGTACATAAAATTATAGTTTGAAACAACAACATTCAAGCCTTATTCCTAAAACAAATTTGGGTCGGTTAAGATCACTCTAAGAGAATATGTCTTTTCTAAAACCGGGTCAATTAGGGTCAAAACCGGATCGAACCGGAAAATTCAGGTCCGGACCGGTCCGGACCAGTTAGATTCAGGTCCGGTCTTCGGTCCATAGAAAATGATGATTCTGGTTCCGGTCCTAACCGGTTCTGGTCCGGTTTTGGACCGGTGCACACCCTTACCTAGTATGGTGCAATCACCGTTGTGTGTTAATAACTTGTAAGGATTAATGATTTGCAACTTGTGAACAACAAAACATAAATTATCAATTATAATAAAAAAACGTTTTTAATAATCCAATGGGGAAAAGGGATTAACCATCACATATATTATACTACGAATGTGTGTGAAACTATTAAAGGGAATTTTAAACTACGAATTAAAAAAGTACATTTCACACATCTAACAATCAAATAAAACCTTTGGATCAACATATTTTGTCTCAGTTATATGACCTTGAATTATTTTAGCTTCTAAAATATGAAATCCAAGTTGATAGTTCTGGCCAAAGCCATTGTTGTCTTATATAGTTATATTTATGCGTATTAATAAAAGTAGTGTAATAGGTAAGATATATATAATCCTATTAAAAATGAACTAATGTTCGAAATTTATCTTATATATTTTCGCATAATCACTTGCTCAATTGAGATAATATTCATGATTATAATTTAATCATTTCAAATCCCTCTAATCCTCTCTAGGCATGTGCGGCTACATATATGCATAAATTTGATAACTACCACTTCATCCAAAAGTAAATGAACTCTTAGCATACAGCAGTAAGTCGGTAACAACTATTAGATTTTAAGTATGTTGAGTATATTGTTTTGTTGATGACTAATCATGTAGGTGGAATTAATGCAGAATCATTTCTAGTTCCGTGATATGATTTGAATTAATATTGATTGCATCTACTTGATTTTCAATTAATATGCTTTCCTTATATGAGTGATTATACTTTGTCAAAAATATGATTTTAAGCAAAAATATCCTTCTTGGCATGATATACGTAATTTGCTTGTATGAGTGCTTATTTGAGTGTTATTCTCTTTTCATACTTGATTAGAAATCCACTTATTAGTATAGCTTATTACTTTATGGAAAGTATTCTTATTTGATTGCATGATTTATATTTGGTGGTTGACCATAGCACTTACGTATTGCATGTTTTGCTAAATATCTCCTTGCCATAAAAGTTATCCTTGATTAACTTACTAAGTGAATAGTTTGAGTATGGATGTCTTCTGGCATGGGCCGTCGCATGCTTATTATGGTAGGTAAAATATTCCCTTGCTATACGGATTTGAAAAAGTAAATGTTGTTTGAAATATATTCCATATTTTAATCCGTTGCTTGCTTATATTGAGAATAATATTCCTACGACCTTTTTAGGAATTGACCGAAGTCTATCTTATTTGGTAATTAATTGATCACACGTGATTTGGATGAGCTGTTTGTATTTATTCTCTTAGTCCGGGACTGATATGCTACCTTGAATATATGATTAAGGTATTTTAATTCAGCTGCCTTATATATTGAGCTCGGATATGGGAAATATTATATAAAAAAGAAAGCAATTCAAAATATTGAGGCAAGTCCTAAGATTAGAAGATCAACTATTCAAGGAAGGATGCTTAAACGGTCTACCCAAGACAGCCTATATAAACGAAGCAGCCAAAGAGAAATGATGTGTGCTTGGCCGAGCAATTACTGAGAAAAATTCTTATAAAGAATTATCAAGACCAAGGCACCTGGACCTGCTTTCGGAGTTCTAGATAGAGTTTCTTTTCCCTTCTTTATCTTGTAACCAGATTTTGAGGAAAAGCTAAAGTGTAGCCTCCTCGGGTTAGGGGCGTGTGTGTGAGAGCTTTGTTGTAAAGCTGAGAGGCTCTCTACCCGCAAAGTAGAGATGCATAACTCTTCCTAGAGAGGATAGAGTTGGGGGTTGCTCAAGGGTAGATTAGGAGAATTTACCTTGTAACCACAAAAGGCTTTTTAGTGAAGTTGTTTAAAATTCCTCCGAGGGAGGTCAAGGTTTTTTAATCCCTTTGAGCCAAGGGATTTTTCCTCGTTAAATCCTTGTGCACTATACTATTTCGCAATTCCCTGAACCCCACACTAGAACTGTGCGAGAAACTTCCACGGTTCCACACACGCACAATTCACCCCCCCCCTCTTGTGTTACTAACCGTTTCACCGATTGGTATCAGAGCCGGTCTTCGCCGCATAAAGGTTAAAACCTTGGGAAGAGATCCGGCAGCATGAATACGGTTGAACGATTGGAAGAAGGATACTCGACTCAACGACCACCGTTGTTCAACGGCAAATTTTACCAATTCTGGGAGAGTCGAATGGAGAACTTCATCAAAGCCGAAAATTACCAGGTATGGAACGCAATTGAGGCAGGTGATAACATCATTACTAAGGTGGACTCTGAAGGTAAGGTTGTACCTAAACCCAAATCTGAATTCACTACTGATGATCATCGTAAACTCGAACATAATGCCCAAGCATTAAAATATTTGATTTGTGGACTTGGTCCGGCTGAGCACAATCGGGTTCTTGGATGCAAATCCGCAAAAAAAAATGTGGGATTTACTCGAGGTTACGCATGAAGGTACCTCGCGTGTAAAAAGATCCAAAATTGACATATTTATGAGTAACTACGAATTGTTCGTGATGAAACCTAAAGAGTCAATTATGGATATGATTACACGCTTTACTAATATTATAAATGAGCTTTCAGCACTTGGAAAAGTTATTACTGTACAAGATCAAGTGAGAAAAGTTATGAGAAGCTTGCCCTCCGCATGGAAGCCTAAAACAACGACAATAGAGGAAGCTAAAGATCTCTCCGCCATGACGTTAGAGGACTTGACCGGTTCACTCATGACATATGAGTTAGGCCTACAAGAAGAACAAGATGCCGAAAATGTGAGGAAAGAACGAGGAATAGCTCTCAAGGCTCGAGAAGAAGAAGAAGAATCCGAAAGTGAATCGGAAGACGAAATGAGCATGTTCGCCAAGCAATTCGGGAAGATGTACCGGAAATTCAAAGGCAACCGGAATAAGCAAGGTAAAAAGGGTTTTCAATCTTTTAACAACCAAGGATGTTTCGTTTGTGGTTCCTTTGAGCATAGGGCAAAAGATTGTCCCCAAAAGAAAAATGACAGAACCTACGAAAAGAACAAGATCAGTTCCTACCGGAGGTCCGGTGAAGATAAAGGGTTCAACAGAGACCTCAAGAAGGTGATGATGGCATCTTGGGGAGGCTCATCCGATGATGATGAGGAAGAAAGTGAAAAGAGTTCCAATCATGCAGGGTTGTGTCTTTTGGCTAATTCCGACGAGGAATCCGACCAAGAGAGTTTCGAGGTAAATTTGGAAAACTTCCTATCTAAGTTTGATTCTTTGCCTAAAACCAAAGTTCGGAAAATTTTTAAAAGGCTAACTATTGAGCTTAACCAAAACCTTTCTGAAAATGAGAATCTAAAATCACAAATCACTTAGCTTGAATCTAAACTCGAGGAAACCACATGAGCAAAGCTAAGGCTTGAAACTAAAGTGGGAGAGTTAATAGATGAGAAGCTTAAATACAGTGAAGTGGTTTTAAAACAAGACAATATTATCTGTTCTTTGAAGCTCGATAGCATGAACCAACAAGTTGATCAAAGTGAGAAACTTCTTTCAAAAATTCCGAATATTGGTGTGCTGATTGAACTCCTTAATCGCCTTGAGGCCGAGAGACAAGATTTCAAAAATAAATCGGAATACCAGCCGTATAGTACCAAAGATAGAACCAGGTCTAGACCTCATTCTAGAAATGAACCCTCTCGGTAAAAAAAAAGGAAAACGAGACTGATGGTCTCGGATATGTTCCAAGAAATACTCAAATAAATCAAAGACCTAGTTTTCAGAACCAACCCTTTAATGGTAAAAGAACTAGAGGACAAACCAGTTCTAGGCCGTATCAAAGGTAATCTAGAACTGGACCAACCTGGTTCGATAGAATGGTACAAAAGCACAAAACTGGTTATGGACAAACACCTAACCGAGAGTTTTATAAAAGGGGCAAAGATTTTTTTGGAAATTGGAAAACTAAATACGTTGATACATATGATAGCCGAATTTGCGGGCATTGTGGCAAAGACGGTCATCTCAGGCATCAATGTCACTCTTGACAACATGCCTTAGAAAGAAGTTTTAATCATATTAAATTTTCCTCAAACAAATACAAAATGGAACCCAAGCAGGTCTTGGTTCCACGCACTAAACCTTAATCCTGGAACAGCGCCGAGTGAGGGGGAACAGTCACTGGTTCCTTGACAGTGGTTGTTCTAAGCACATGACGGGAGATAAATCTTTATTCCTCTCACTGCGGCCATTTAGCGGTGGAAAGGTGACATTTGGAGACAACAGTAAAGGAGAAATCATTGCTGTGGGAAAAATAGGAGAGTCACCTAACCATGCAATAGATAATGTTTTCCTAGTCAAGGGTTTAAAGTTTAATTTGCTTAGTATTTCTCAATTTTGCGATCGAGGTAACAGTGTAGTTTTTTATCATAGTGTATGTCGCATTGTTAATAACGAATCACACCAAGTCATACTAGAAGGCAAAAGACTTGAAAATACATATAAAGTTGATCTCGACTTGTTGCCAAACCTAAGTCTAACATGCCTAAGCGTTATTGACAATGATCCCCTACTTTGGCATAAAAGGCTGGGCCATGCTAGTTTTTCATTAATAAATAAACTCTGAAATAATGAATTGGTAGTCGGACTACCTAAAATAAAATATTCCCTTGATCATATTTGCTCCGCTTGTGCCATCGGATAAACAATCTCCATCATCTTTTAAAACAAAGAATTTTGTGAGCACAAGCAAGCCCATAGAACTAATTCACATGGATATATGTGATCCAATGTCAGTCCGTAGCCGAGAAAATAAAGAATATGTTTTAGTTATTGTTGATGACTTTTCAAGATATACTTGGACTATCTTTCTTGCAAGCAAGAAAGATACTTTTAATGAGTTTGTTGTTTTTGTAAGGAAAGTTGCACATCAAACATGGCTACAATTAATCAAGATCAGATCGGATCATGGAACTGAGTTTGACAACTCACTATTTGATGCATTCTGCAAAGAACGAGGCATAGACCACAACTTCTCTGCCCCCAGAACTCCTCAACAAAATGGGGTAGTAGAACGGAAGAATAGAACTCTGGAGGACATGACTAGAACAATGTTGATTTCCTGTGGTCTAGCAAGAAACTTTTGGGCAGAAGCAATAAACACGACATGCTATATAATTAACCGTGATATGAGCCATCCACTCCTAGGGAAGACATCCTACGAACTACTCAAAGGGAGAAAGCCCAACATTAGTCATCTAAGAACATTTGGATGCAAATGTTTTGCTGATAACAATGGGAAAGACAACATTGGCAAGTTCGATGCAAGAAGTGATGAAGCAGTCTTCCTCGGATACTAAACTCATAGCAAAGCTTACAAAGTTCTAAACAAACGCACACAATGTGTGGAAGAAAGTATCCATGTAATCTTTGATGAAGAACTTGCCTCAAGACCAAGCCAAACCGATGATGAAGAAACAAGAATGACACGCAAGGAGATACAACCTCAAAGGGAAAGTGGAACTGACCATGACACCAGCCAAACTGGAGAACCACCACTGACCAATGAGAATAACGAGTCTGGAACTGAAGAAGAAACTGGGCAGACTTCAGCCAGTCAGCCTGTAGAACCAGAAGAACCAGTTTCAGATACTCTACACGAATTGGTGGATCAACCAAATGCTCCAAGAGGGTGGAAGCATCATCGATCACACCCCCTGGATAACCTCCTAACAGATCTAAATCAGGGAGTAACAACTAGATCCACACTTAGAAATTTTTGTGCTTTCTTTGCTTATTTATCTCTTATAAAACCGGAGAACTATGAAGTGGCTCTCTCCGATGCTGGCTGGGTTCTAGCTATGCAGGAAGAACTAAATCAGTTCGAGAGGAACAAGGTGTGACATCTAGAACCAAGACCTAAGAACAAAACCGTGATAGGTCTCAAATGGGTATTTAAGAACAAGTTTGATGAACATGGACAAATCACAAGGAACAATGCAAGGCTTGTTGTAAAAGGCTATAACCAACAAGAAGGGATAGATTTCAATGAAACATTTGCACCAGTGACAAGATTAGAGGCAATACGAATGCTCATAGCATTTGCGGCTCACATGGGATTCACACTCCATCAAATGGATGTGAAAACGGCCTTCTTGAATGGTTATCTTAAGGAAGAGGTATACGTAGAACAACCACCGGGGTTTGAAAATCCAGATTTTCCTAATCACGTTTTTAAATTAGACAAAGCACTTTATGATCTCAAACAAGCACCTCGTGCTTGGTATGAACAAGTATCTAAATTTCTTTTGGAAAATGATTTTGAAAGAGGAAAAATAGACAAAACTCTTTTTCTAAAAATAAAAAATCAAGCCCTTTTGGTCGTTCAAATTTATGTTGATGATATTATATTTGGTGCTACTAATGATTCTCTTTGTGATGAATTTTCTTCTCTTATGAGTTCCGAGTTCGAAATGAGCATGATGGGAGAACTAAATTTTTTCCTTGGTCTACAAATCAAACAAATAAGCTAAGGAACTCAAATATCTCAACAAAAGTATCTTAAGGAACTACTCAAGAAGTATGGGGCAAGTGAAGGCAAAACAATGACGACACCTATGGGAACACATGAACGATTGGATGCAGATAAACAGGGAACAAGCGTGGACCAAAAGAAGTATAGAGGTATGATTGGGTCTCTACTATACCTAACTGCCAGTAGACCCGACATAGTTTTCAGTGTGGGTCTATGCGCTCGGTTCCAGGCAAATCCTAAGGAGTCACATCTCAAATCGGCTAAAAGGATCCTCAAATATCTCAAAGGAACTTCAAATATATGCTTATGGTATCCACGTAATGAAGATTTTAATCTTATTGCATATTGAGACTCTGATTTTGCAGGTGATTTACTAAATAGAAAAAGCACGCCTGGAACGACTCACTTCCTAGGTCCCTGTCTAGTTTCATGGAGCTCTAAGAAACAAAATTCAGTTGCTCTTTCAACGGCCGAAGCTTAGTACGTAGCAGCCGCATCTTGTTGCTCTCAATCATTGTGGATCATGCAACAAGTAATCGATTATGGGGTTGATTTAAAGTGCACGCCCATTCTATGCGATAACACAAGTGCAATTAGCATATCAAAGGATCCGGTCATGCATTCTCAGACAAAACATATTCATATACAACATCACTTTCTGAGAGATTGCGTGCAAAAGGGGATAATCAGGCTGGAATATTGCAGCACCGAGAAACAAATAGCTGATATTTTTACCAAGCCTTTGGGAAGATAAAGGTTTGAACTAATTAGACTTGAACTCTGGTCTAATTAATTCCTAAACTAATTAACTTGCTCAATCTCTTTTGCTTCTGCGTATCACAAAGAAACTTCCTCCTTCTTCGGCCTCATCTAAGGGGGAACAAATCAGTGTTTTGATTTGGGCATTATTTTGGTTCCTTTTGTGGGATGACAAAAGGGGAAAAAATCAGGTGCCTCTTTATGTGTTGATGCTCTAATATTTATGATTGCTACTAATCTGCAGGGACACCTTTATTATGGCACCTAATGTTTGTCATCAACAAAAAAAGGGAATTTGTTGAGTATGTTGTTTTGTTGATGACTAATCATGTAGGTGGAACTAATGCAGAACCATTTCTAGTTCTGTGATATGATTTGAATTAATATTGATTGCACCTACTTGATTTTCAATTAATATGCTTTCCTTATATGAGTGATTATACTTTGTCAAAAATATGATTTTAAGCAAAAATATCCTTCTTGGCATGATATACGTAATTTGCTTGTATGAGTGTTTATATTATTGGTTATTCTCTTTTCATACTTGATTAGACATCCACTTATTAGTATAGCTTATTACTTTATGGAAAGTATCCTTATTTGATTGCATGATTTATATTTGGTGGTTGACCATAGCACTTACGTATTGCATGTTTTGCTAAATATCTCCTTGCCATAAAAGTTGTCCTTGATTAACTTACTAAGTGAATAGTTTGAGTATGGATGTCTTCTGGCATGGGCCGTCACATGCTTATTATGGTAGCTAAAATATTCCCTTGCTATACGAATTTGAAAAAGTAAATGTTGTTTGAAATATATTCCATATTTTAATCCGTTGCTTGCTTATATTGAGAATTATATTTGGTAATTAATTGATCACACGTGATTTGGATGAGTTGTTTGTATTTATTCTCTTAGTCCGGGACTGATATGCTACCTTGAATATATGATTAATATATTTTAATTCGACTGCCTTATATATTGAGCTCGGATATGGGAAATATTATTAAAAAAAAGAAAGCAATTCAAAATATTGAGGCAAGTCCCAAGATTAGAAGATCAACTATTCAAGAAAGGATGCTTAAACGGTCTGCCCATGACAGCCTATATAAACGAAGCAGCCAAAGAGAAATGATGTGTGCTTGACCGAGCAATTACTGAGAGAAATACTTATAAATTATCAAGACCAAGACACCTGGACCTGCTTTCGGAGTTCTAGATAAAATTTCTTTTCCCTTCTTTATCTTGTAACTAGATTTTGAGGAAAAACTAAAGTGTAGCCTCCTCGGGTTGGGGGCGTGTGTGTGAGAGTTTTGTTGTAATGCTGAGAGGCTCTCTACCCGCAAGGTAGAGATGCGCAACTCTTCCTAGAGAGGATAGAGTTGGGGGTGACTCAAGGGTAGATTAGGAGAATTTACCTTGTAACCACAAAAGGCTTTTTAGTGAAGTTGTTTAAAATTCCTCCGAGGGAGGTCGAGGTTTTTTAATCCCTTTGATCCAAGGAATTTTTCTTCGTTAAATCCTTGTGCACTTTATTATTTCGCAATTCCCTGAACCCCACGCTAGAACTGTGCGAGAAACTGTCACGGTTCCACACACAATTCACCCCCTCTTGTGTTAGTAACCGTTTCATCAAACTACATACCGTCTATTCAAAAAACAAAAGTCGGGCCTTTAGTGCCTCGTGACGGGAGTGGTGGACGGCCCTACACGCATGCAACGGCGGCACCGGCTTACTCTTTTTTTCTTGCTTTCCCTTAGCAGCGGAAAAGGAGTACGTCTATCTATCTGGTGCGTAGCTTTGCTTTCCCTTATTAGCAGGTGGATAAAGCATGGGCGGATCTATGTAGGGCCTAGGGTGGGCTCTAGCCCAGCCCAACCCAATTTTTTTGTTAGTATAGAAAGAGATTTAATTTTCAGCCCACCCAAAAATTAAAACTCAGTCCACCCCAAGTCTACAAGGAAGTATTCTAAGAAGCTCTAAAAGCAAAAGGCTGCCCAAACTTTGTTTAAAGCTCATAGTCATGGGAACAAATGATCCCGAGAACAAATGATCCTGATGCGTAATAATAGAGCTTGGTGTGATTGCACCAAGAAGTGATTTATATATAGAACACTCAGGAGGGTGAACCATCCTTACAGTCGGTGTGGGATAAATTGAGGAGCAAAACTTTACATACGGAGTATTAAACAATCGTATGTAGTTGGTGTTTGGAGCCAGCTGCAAATTATGCAATCACATCTCACTCACTCACCCATACCATCAATGAAAGCACTTTATATTACAAGTTACAATATTATTTTACAACATAAATTTTATGATTAATATTATATTATTATTATAATACTGTTATTATTATATGAATATTACTATTATTTGACCCAAGTCACCATGAGTAACTTTTATAAGCATTAAAATTTAAACATAATTATAATCATTAAAATAACTAAGTTACTCTTTATCAACTATCCTTATTTGGTCATATACTATTTCTATTATTATTATTAAAATTATTATTATTATTAATAAAATTATAATAGTTGTATTAGTGCATTAGTTTTATTTAATAGTTATGTAATTCTATTTGATTATTAATTTAATTTACGCTCAAACTCGGCTTGAACAAAATAGATATATGAACTCTATTTTGTTAGTGTTCAAATATATTTAAAAAATTGCAATGAAAATGTTTAAATTTTAAGATAAATAAAATTTATTTCTATAATTTACGAGTTATTGATAGACTCGAGTCCGGATCAAACCGAATACCACTATGCTCGAACTCAGCTTGAACAACTATTCGAATTCAAAATCTAGCTCGTGTTCGAGTTAAAAAAAGCTTCTTAAGCTTAGATCACTAAATTAAATTCGAAATCACGCTCGAATTCGCGTAGTTCGAAAAAAACTCAATTCGATTACGGTCCTAAGCAGCATAAGCTAAACTTTGTGTTTGCAATAACAATTTTTTTCCTGCTAAGCCCATCCCACTCTTCATTCCTGGATCCGCCCCTGGGATAAAGTTTGCACGTAATTCATTACAACTAAAACCAATACAAAAGAGTCAGATGATAAAACAAATAAATTATTTACCTGCACATTGTAGAGTTAAAAAAGGAACGATGAGCAAATTTTTTTAAACAACCTCTATATATACTGCAGGTAGATAGATGATTTGTGTGGGTTTATGTAATTATGTGCAGCAAGTTATGAGTGCAGAATGGCAGATGGAGTTCAAAACATGTACATGAGAAGCCAAGGCTGCGCTAATTAGGCTATTAATTACTCCCTCCGTCCCGGAAAATTAGTTCCACTTTGACTTGGATCGGATTTTAAGAAAGTGGGAATAAAGTGCAAATGTATGGTTGTGGTTGAGTAAGAAAAAGGTAAATGAATGTTGGCCACACAAAACTTTCCAAAAAGAGAAATGGGAACAATTTTTTGAGACGGCCCAAAAAAGAAAATGAGACTTATTTTATGGGACGGAGGGAGTATCTACTAACTGCTATTCCGTATTTCTCTATGGCAATATGTAGTGCGGCAGTTATTGTGTAAGTGTGTAACTGGGGCTGACAATATGTAGTGCGGCAGTTTTAATAATTTTCATTCTCAATATTTCTAGAACAACTTTGCTTGTTATACACAGACAACTTGTGAACAGACATGTGTACACAAAAGATATACATATTTTATGTACCAACTTTGCTTGGTGTCCACAGACAACTTGTGTGTACACATTTGGTGTACCAAATGCATTTTCCTTTCTAGAATTTGTCCTCACGTGAGTCAACATGTACTACATTGGGCGGGAACAGTTAGAATACAGACAATCAGCTTTTTATATAGAGTTAATTACTCCCTCCGTCCCTTAAAACTTTATCATCTTTCCTTTTTGGGACGTTCTA